TAAAAAAAATAAAAAAAAAAAAAAAAAAAAAAAAAAAAAAACATATATATATATATATAAACATAAATATATGTAAAATATTTTATTATTTCTATTTTTATCATCTTTTTTATTTATAGGTATATTTTGGATTTAAATAAAATAATAATAGATGAATATTATTATTTGATAAATTATATAATATTTCATCTATTTCTAGCAACGTTATCCTTATTTATTTTCTTGTTAGATGTATTATTTAATCTTAACATTTTTTCAAATCTAATTTATCATGTGGTTATTCTTTTTGTTCTTTTATTTTGTACTACTATTTTTCCTTTTAATTTATATAAATCTAGAAAAAAAAATTTTATATTTTCCTCTCTTTTACGAGTCCATTTAAGCGGGTAATTATATAAAAATATTATTTAAAAAAAAAAAAAATAAAATAAATAAAATAAAAAGAATATATCTAAATAAAAAATAAATTTTCTTTTTTCTTTTTTATAGTTTATTTTTAGTTAAAAATGTAAATCTTCTTGATAATATTATTGGAGATATATTAACGAGTTTGTCAAAAACATTCTCAGATGTTCAGTATTCTATTTGTTTTGTTTTGTATGGAAAAAATGAAAAATTAGAAATAAAAAAAAAAAAAAAAAAAATGCTTCATTTTAATAATAGACAATATTAAAAATAAACAAATTACTATTTATCCAATGTACATTTTTTAAGTGTTTTAATTATACAAATACATTAAATATATTATAAAATAAATACATATATATATATATAATTCTATATATTAAATATTTTTATTTATGAATAATACATATATTAATATATTATTTTTAATTTATTTATTTTTGTTTTTTTAGAAATAATATGAATACAAATATTCCTGCAAAATGCCCAGGTAAAATGAAATTATAAATATTTTATAATAAATTTAAAAAAAAAAAAAATTACTTTTTTTATTTTTAATACAGTGATGGAAAGTTATATAAATCCTATTTTCATTGGGTTACCTTTTTATCTTAGATTATGTCAATGTTTGATTAGGTAATTATAAAAAAAATATAATAATAAGAAGTGTTTATTGATATATTATTTTCATAAATTTATATTATTTACATATTTATAGTTTTTTTTTTTTGAATATTTTTATTTATAAATTATTTATTTTTATCTATTCAGATATAAAAACGAAAGAGAAAAAATACATATTTATAATATGCTCAAGTATTTATCAGGTATTATTATAGTAATATGCACATCTTTTAATTGGTAATAGAAAAAAAAAAAAAAAAAAAAAAAAAAAAAAAAAAAAAAAAAAAAAAAAAAGAAATAAAAATACAAATAATAAATAAAAAAAAAAGGAGGAGAAATATTATTATATATATATATATATATATATATATATATATATATATATATATATATAAATTAAATAAAAAAATAGTAAAAAAAATATATATTTTATTTTGTTTAGGTCATATTTTGGTTTTGATATTTATACAAGTAAATTAATTTTAGTTTGTTCATATGTGATTGGTTCTACTTATATGTATATTTGGGATTTGTATTGTGATTGGGGACTTTTAAAAGAATATAATACTTTACTAAGGTAATATAATAATTATGAAAAAAAAAATATTATTTATAATTTATAGACATAACATATAATTTATATTTATTGTAACTTTTTTTTTTTGTAGGAAGAATAATAATATAATGTATCCCCCTCATTATTATTATATTGGAGGATTTATTAATTTAGTAAAAAAAAAAAAAAAAAAAAATTAAAAAAAAATAATTGATTATTCTCATATAATTAGAAATAATTATTTAAAATTTTTTTCTTAGATTTTTAGATTAACGTGGGCAATTACTATTATGCCAATAAGCCTATTTGAAAATAAAGTAAAAAATTTAATATAACTTAATTATAAATTTGTAAATATTTTATTTTATTTTATTTTATTTAAAATTTAGGAAATAAATTCATTTTTAATAACATTCTTTCTCATGTTTATTGAAGTTTTAAGAAGATCAATTGTAATTTTTATTATATATTTTTAAATTAAAATTTATAAAAAAAAAAAAAAAAAAAATATTTATAATTTTATTAAAATTAATTAAATTTAATATATTCATAAATTTTTCTTTATAGTGGATATGTTTTAGACTTGAAAATGAACATGTTACAAATGCATCAAAATATAGAGCAATATTATGGGTATATTTATATATAAAAATAATAAAAAAAAAAATATAAAAAAAGATATAAAAAAAGATATGAAAAAAGATATGAAAAAAAATATTTTAAAACATAATTAAATTATATAAACATACATTTTTTTTTTTTTAGGTTCCAAAGTTACATAAGACAAAAAATTTTTAATCTGTTATTTTGAAACATTTTTTTTTTTTTTTTTTATTCATTTTAATGTAATATATTGATGTGTGAATTTAATTATATTTTTTTAAAATTTAAATTATGAAAAAATAAACTAGAAAAATAAATATAATTAAAATTATTTGAAAAAAAAATAAATTTTAAAGACAACGTAAAAAAAAAAAAAAATATTAATATTAATTGGAAAGCATAATATTAATAATAATATGATATACAAATAAATAATAAAAATAAAAAAATCAATAAATAAAACTTTGATACAATGTTGTATGATAAAATATTAAAATGATTTAGCGAATGATTATATAAACAAAAATATTAAAATTTTTAAGATTATAAAGAAAAATTAACATAAATTATATAAAAATTAAAAAAAAATATATATATATATATTTAAATGTAGAAATGATTAAAAAATATTGATTAATGTTTATAATTTTTGAAATTTTAACAAAATTAACATTACATATATTTAAGTTGTAAGAACATTCTTTTTTTATTTTTCTATTCTTTTCATTATTAAATTTATTATAGGTAGGATTAATTTTTATTTTATTTTTTTAATGTTGTAATTCATATTCATTTATTGTATTAATAAAAGTATGAACGTTGTCTATTTTTGAATTTGGTAATATTCCATGACCTAAATTAGCTATATATTTATTTTTATAAAAAATTTTATCTATCATTTTTTTTGTATAATTTTTGATTAATTTATTATCATCTAATAGTAATATATGTGGATCTAATGCACCTTGTAATATAATTTGATTTTGAAATAGCTTGTAGTAAAATTCAGATGATTTTTCTGATAATTGCTTATGAGTAATAGATAATACGTCAATCATTAAATTTTTAATACATTCATGAAAATTGTCTTTAATAAATAAAATAATATAACACTGAGGTCTATGTTTTTTAATTAAATTAATAACTTTTTCTAAGTATTTAACACTAAATTCTTTAAAGATATTTTTATCTACTACTTCTGCATTACTATCAAAAATTTGAATTATATTTGCACCACTGTCTATTTGATTTATTAAATGATTTGCACATATATCACTTAATTTATTTAAAATTTTATGTGTATCTTCTGGTTTTTCATATATTAATTTTAAGCTATCCTCATATGTTTTTTTATTATTTTTTGTTAAATATGTAAATAAGGTAAATGGAGAACCAGCAAAACCTAATATAGGAACTGAATTATCAATTTTTTTTTTTGTTAAATTAATAGCGTCATAAACATAATGTAAATTATCTATAATTTCAGGAATATTTAAATTTAATTTCTCAAAATCTTCATAACTTGTTATTTTTTTATTGAATATTGGACCCACTTTTTCTATAAATTCTATTTCTAATCCCATTGCATTAAAAATTATTAAAATATCTGAAAAAATCACAAGCATATCAATTGAAAATCTTTTGTATGGCATTATTGTTACTTCTGATGATAATTCTGCTTTTTTACATATTTCAAAAAAATCATATTTTTTGCGATATTCTAAATATTCAGGTAAATATCTACCAGCTTGACGCATAATCCATATTGGTATTTTTTCGAAAAATTTATTTTCATTTTTATTTTCTATAACTCTTAAAACTAAATCATTTTTTGGTCTACCGTATGCTAAGTGAAAAAAAAAAAAAAAAAAAAAAAAAATAAAAAAAATAAAATAAAAAAATAACAAAATGTGATATACAAAAAAAAAAATATAGATTTTTTTTTCAAATAATATAATAATAATAATAAAAAAAAAAATTTAATTCTCTACTATACTTTTATATTTTAATGATTGAGGTCTACAATACACCTCATCAACATTAGTCATTTGTAATTTTCTATATATTTTAAATATTTTTAAATTAATTTTTCTTATATTTATATAACAAAATGTTTCATTAAATAATAAAAATAATATAAGAAGAAAATTTTTAAACATTATATTTAATTAAAAGTATAAAGTAAAATAAAATAAAAAAAAATATATATATTAAAATAAAATAATGTTAAAAAAAAATATAAAAATGTACTGTTTTTTTTTAGAAATAATTCTTTTAAAATATATAATTAATTTTAAAAAAACAAACAAACAAACAAACAAAAAAAAAAAAAAATTATATATATTAGTAACATATATTTTTTTTTTAAATAAAAAGATAACTTAAAAAAAAAAAAAAATATATATATATATATATATATATATAGAATTATTTAAAAAAAAATTACTGAAAAATAGATAAATTTTACACTTTTTTTTTTTTTACATATTTTCTTTACAATTATGCATGTGTGTTTTTATAAATATTTGTATATAAAAATAATAACAAGCAAAAAGAAATATATATATATATATATATATATATATAATTTTAAATTTATATAACTTCTATATATATTAATAAAATTAAATTTTTATTTAAATTTTTTTTTTTTTTTTTTCAATTACAATAATTTTAAAATTTGTTAATATTTTATGTTTTTTATATCTATATGGAAATTATAAAAATTTCAACAATTTTTATAGAAATGATTTTAAATAAAAAAAAAAAAAAAAAAAGAAAAATTTTTTTAAAATACTTTTGATATTTTTTATGATTGTTTAGTTCAAAATATGTTTTTTTAATATAGAATATTTAATTTTATATGTTGATATAGAATATATATAATAAGGAAAAAAAGTAAAATAGGAAAAATAAAGTTATAAATAAATTAAGAAGATAAAAATGAATATAGATTCAGAGGATATAAATAATAATGATGGTATTAAATTTTTTTATTATATTTTATTAAAAATGTAAATGTATATATATGTATATATATTTATATATTTTTTTTTTTAGGTAATTTTACCCATATTAATAATACAGAGATGATTATATTTCGGTATTTTACAATTTTTTTGTATTTTTTATTATTTTGTAATATTTTTTCTTTATTTGGTTTAGGTATTTATTTTTTGAGTATACCTTGTGAGAAATGTGATTTTTATAATAGAATATTAGTTACAGTTATTTTAGTAAAAAGTATTGCTCATTTAAAATTAACTATAATTAAAGTAAAAAGAAGAGATGAAATAGAAAATAATGAAAGATTAAAAAATATAATAGTTTTTTTAATTAAAATATTTAATTTTCTAACTTTTTTATTAGCAGTAGTATCTTTATATTTCCTTCATTTTTACAACAATATTTGTGTAACACCTACTTTATCTTTAAAATTAATTAGAATATATTATTATTTTACAATAACATTATATTTTATTCCCTTATTATTTTATATATCTATTGGTTTATTTTTATCAATTATAATATGTATTATGATAAATTATTCTGTTGAAGAAGGTGATCGAATTCCAACTCCTGAAAATATAATAAGTAGATTAAAAATAGTGAAATATAAAGATCTAGATTATATTCATAAAAAAGGAAAAAAGAGTAATAAGAACAAAAAATATATTAAAAAACCATCTTTTGAAATGATATTTGATAAAGTAAAAAGCGTTATAATAGATAAAGAAAATAACGAAAAAAAAAAAAAAATGCAACTAAATAGTAGCAACTCAAATATTATTGATGAAAATTTACAAGAAATGCTAAAACCACTTAATACAAATATTGAAAGTGAGATTAATTATAATAATGATAACAATAAGGTTACTCAAGAAAATCTTTTAAATAATAATAAAGAAATATCAAACGAAAATGAAGATGTATGTTCAATATGTATGATGAATTATATAAATAATGATGATGTTATGATAATGCCATGTGATAAGAGACATTTTTTTCATGTTAGCTGTTTAACAAAATGGTTATATAAAAGTCAAGTTTGCCCAATTTGTAGAACAAATATTGTTAATTGTTTTAATTCAAAAAATAATATAGTTTAATATATATATATATATATTAATATATCTTAATTATGTTTTAGAATATTTATATATAGATATATTTTAATAAAATATTTTTATGTAATAATAATATATGAAGTATATAATATTAATATCTTTGAAGCCTTTTATTTAAAAAAAAAAAAAAAAAAAAAAAATAAATATAAAATTTAAATTGGTTTTATGATATACTCTTAAAGTATATATTTATGATTTTTGTTTTTTTCTTTTTTTTTAGTTTTAATATAAATTTTCTCTTTCTTTTTTTAATGTTTAAATGAAAAAAAAAAAAAAAAAAAATAGACTTATTAATAACATAAATAAATTATTAATTTTTTTTTTAATTAAAATCTATTAATATATATATATATATATTTATATATATTTATATATATATATATATATTTTTATTTAATAAAGTTTCATTATTAAATAAGTATTTTTTTTTCTTTATAAATTTTAAAAAGTATTTTCTTTTTTATTATTATATTTTTTTTTTTTTTTTTTTTTAGTTTTTTATTAAAATAAAAAAGTATGCTCTTTTCATTTAAAAATAAAACATACTATTTTTTTTTTTTTTTTTTTTTTTTAGGGTATTATATTATGCCTAAATAAAATAAAAATTTTAGAAAATAATAACATATATATGTGTGTGTATTTATAAAAATTTTTTATTTTAGAATAAACTTTTAATAAATGTCTAATATATTTAACATTATTTTAATTATAACCTTATTATTATTATTAAAATTATTTTTATTAAAATAATATATTCCTTTTTCTTTTTTTTTTTTTTTTTATTGAAATAACTTTAAATTATTCGTTCGAGCATTCTTCTCTATGATTAAACCAGTCTTTCATCTAAATAGATAGATATAATTTAAGTAACTTTTTTTTTAATTATTTTTGTATTTTATTTTATTTTTATTATTTTTTTTTTTTTTTTAAACGTTTACTTGACATTCCTTTGAGCAATAATAGATTCTTTTGCATTGTGAGCATTGCAATTCAGCCTAAAAAAAAAAAAATTGTAGTAACAGTATTATTATTCTTAATACTAAAAATAACTATTTATTAACATAATAATTCATATATAAATTAATATATATTTATTTATTTTATTTATGTACATTTTCTTTGCAATTGTTGCATATATAATATTCTTCAGTTGTTGTTTTTTTTTTTTCATTTCTTTTTATGGAAGCATTTTGATATTCTAAAATAAGAATATTTATATTATGAATTTTTAATATTAATAAGAAATAGATAAAAGTAGAACTACTTTTGTTAATACTTTTATTATTTTCTTGATCAAATTCGTAAATAGAAAAATACACATTAGATATGTTTTCTAAAACATCTTTCTTAATTTTAACATTATTTAACAAAGAAATTATCTCTTTCTTATTTTTTAAAATATCATTTTTTATTTTATCAAAAATATCAGGCACCTTGTCAAAAAGATAAATGTTTTAATATTTTAAAGAAAAAAAATTTTTTATTTTCTTTTTTATATATCTTAGACAACTTACTACGTCAATAATTAAATAAGAATTTTTTTTTTCAGGATAGATATTTTTTGATATATATAAGTGCTGAAATAAGTAATATATTTACATTAAGTTTTTTTTTCATTTTTTTTAAAATTGTATTAGAAATTTTTTTTTTTTTTTTTTTTTTTTTTACTTCTATAAATATATGAAGTGTTTTGAGAGGTGGTATTTGTTCATACAAATTTTCATTCATATATTTTCTTAACTATATAAGAAAAGAAAAAAAAAAAATATATATATATATTAACTACATTTTAATAAAGAATTATGCTACATTTTAATAAAGAATTATGCTACATTTTAATAAAAAATTATGTTACATTTTAATAAAAAATTATGCTACATTTTAATAAAAAATTATGCTACATTTTAATAAAGAATTATACTACATTTTAATAAAGAATTATG